CTAAGTTCTCATGAATGTGGATGCTCAGGCAGCAGCCCAAAACCTTCCTCATTTCCATCTCAATCTCCAGAAAGAATTACAATGAGAACAAGAGCCATCGGGGCAGACAACGGACTCTGAATATTAAAGCAAACCCTAGGCAGGAGCTGGCAAAAGGAAGAAGAGAGGTTTTCCTTTTGGACCTAACAAAGGATATCGGCAAACCCTACTCACCCACCTGCCGTAATAGCTCTGTACCAAACACTCTTTTCAAGGAGCTTTTCCAAATCCCTTCCATTATTATTCACTTCTTATCTCTCTGCATTATTAGATATTTTATTAGATATCTCCCATGTATCAGATTCTGAGCTAGGCCCCACAGGAATATAATGAATAAGCACAACCCCAACCTCAGGGAACGAAATCCCATGGGGTACAGGTACATACAGAGGGATTCTTGCTATCTGAGGACAACTAATATCCACAAATGCCATTTAAGTTAACTCAGTAGGGATCAAAGTTCCCCAATAAATTTTTTTAAAGTTGTTTGGGCCTTTAACTTATCAAGATAAACACAAAACAACATTTTTATAATTCTTGATTTAACAAAATTTAAGTTATAATTGCCATGAAGGTAATTCCTAAAACAAAGAACATCTGTCACTTCACATTTGGCTTTCAACACACGTTGATCAAGAGGATCAATTTTGTCAAAATATTCAAGAGCTTCGCCAGTTTTTCCCTAGAGTCTCTTAATTCTTTGTTACTCAAATCATTGTCCTCTGAATCTCCTATTATGTCATTACTCATGCTAATTTGCCCTTCAATGTAAACTGGCCTAACTTTACCTAACCCTCATTTATCAATTTTGTGTGTTTCAAGCCATTCTCCAATATCACTTTATTTCACATGCATAAATTTCTTCATGTTCTGCAGAAATGTCAGTTTTCACTTTAGAATCTATTTGCATTGTATTATTGGATGTTAGTACTATCATTAGAAAGGCATTTATTGACAAGGTAATGGTAAGCCCAATGGTCACCTGGGAGGGATGTCTCAGTGGGGACTAATTTTATAAGTGATCAGATCCTATGGATAACAAACTTCTATATACCTAATTATAGTGCAAAGAATGGGGAGAGTGCTTTGGAAATTCAGAAAAGCTTAATAAATATTTGTTGAGTGAGTAGATAAGTAAATTACTTTATTCAGTCATTCAAGAAGTATTATTGAGAGCCTATTATATGCCAGGCACTGTTAAAGATGCAAGGGAAGACACCGAGTCCTACCTTGTCTTAGTCTATTTGGGCTGCTTAAATAGAATGCCACAGGCTGGATGGCTTACAAACAAGAGAAATTTATTTCTCACAGTTCTGGAGACTAGGAAGCTTAAGATCAAAGCACCAGGAGATTCAGTGTCTGGTAAGAACCTCTTCCTGGTTCACAGATGGCTTTCTTTGCCCTGTGTCCTCACATGGCAGAAGGGGCAAGGAAGCTCCCTGAGGTCTCTTTTATCATGGCACTAATCCCATTCATCAGGGCCCCACCCTCATGACCTCATAACCTCCCAAAGGCCCCATCTCCAAATATCATCACATCAGGCATTAGGATTTAATATATGAATTTAGGGCACTAATCCCACTCATACCCACCCTCATGACCTCATCACCTCCCAAAAGCCCCATCTCCAAATATCATCACATAAGGCATTAGGATTTAATATATGAATTTAGGGGAGACACAACATTCAGTGTGCGTACCCTTCAGGAAATTATAATCATGGACGGTGGATTCGGACTGGAAGCCTGCATAGAAATAATGGCATCCAAGATGGATCTTGAAGAATGAAGAATTTTGAAAGCATAAAAGAAGAAAAGAATTCCAAGCTGGCTGGGCCAGCATGGCTCAGTGGTTGAGTGTCGACCTGTGAACCAGGAGGTCAAGGTTCGATTCCTGGTCAGGACACATGCCTGGATTGCGAGCTTGATCCCCAGTGTTGGGCGTGCAGGAGGCAACCAATCAATGATTCTCTCTCATCATTGAAGTTTCTATCTCTTTCTCTCCCTCTTCCTTCCTCTCTGAAATCAATTTAAAAAAAAAAAAAAAAGAAAAGAAAGGCAAAGGAAATTCCACCGCTGCTAACATCACAAAAAGAGGGACATCCATGCACTATGAGCCTCTTGATGAAAGAACACACCAAAACCTATGACGTGGTCATGAAAACAAAACAAAAACCTGAATCTGATCAAGCCTCCAGATACTAACTTACAAGTAACATATACACAAAACCAAAGAACTTTTTTTTTTTTCCGGACTTCCGTGGGCTCCCTGTGCGCTCAGCTGCCAACCTCCAGGACCAAGGAACTTTCTAAACTATACTAGAAAGATGAAAAATCCAGACAGTGGAAACCTCTACAGGACAAACAATGTGGTTTCTTCAACAAATAAACTGACAGGGCTGGGGACAGGGGATTTAGAGATTAAGAGAGACATGAAAGACATATCAACCAGTCTCTCTGTGTGGCCTTTATCTGGATTCTGTTTCAAAGTATTTAAAAAAAAAAAAAAGTATGACATTTGAGCCACAATTGAATATTAGGATGATGTTAAGGAGATTATTGGGGGATGGGGTGGCTAAGGTTGGGAGGGAGAAATTTGCTTATTATTTAACATTTGACACCATAAGGGTTATTAGGGGCCTTAGCGAGAGCAGTTGTGATAAGCTGGTGGGATAGAGTAGAGTGGAGTACGCTGCCAAGTAAATAGGAGGTAAGAAACTGGAAGCAGAAGTTGTAAACAGTTATTTAAAAAAGACTGGGTGTGAAGGAGAGCAAAGATAGGATTTAGCTGGAGCCTGACAGGATCTCAAGAATGCTTTTGATTGGCGGGGAAGGGGGAAATTGTTTTCCTTTAAATAGAACATTTGAATGTTGCTTATGGTAACTCAGTAGAAAGCAAAATGTAAAGATACAATGAAGTGAGGTTTCTAAGACGGAACCTTGGGAAGAAATCTAAAAGCATATGAAGGAGCAGGCCTTTCCTTGAATCACTTCCTTCCTTGTAAAGGAAGGGGCAAAGGCAAAAATGGGTGCAAATCCAAGCAGATACTTAGATTTAATAGTAGGAATATGAAGCTTCAATATTATGTGCTATGTGAGCCAAAGTCTGGGGCACAGAGAGAGGTGAGGAGAAGGGCAGTGGAGAAAGAGACAAGTGGGAACTGAGGGGAACACGGAAGAAACCCCTGAAGAAAAGCAGCTGATTCCAGAGCCAAAATCCCAGGGAGAAAATCAGGTTTGTAGAAATGGGAAATGAGTAGGTCCCTTAAGACGTCGTTAAGAGAAAGGCTGAGGTGGTATTTTCAGTTTGCAAATATTAAATCCTGTCAAGAGCCCATTAGGGCTGCGGACCCCTTGACCCAGTATTCCCACCTATGGGAATTTATTCTAAAAAAAATAATTTTTGAAAGGCAAAAGCAATATATAGTATCCTATATAATAAAGCATAGTATGCAAATTGTCTCCTCAACCAGGAGTTGTCCCAGGAGTTTGACCAGGGGGTGGGGCAGGCCGGGGGAAGGGAGGGAGTACCTGGCCAGCAGCCGGCAGCCTCTAGTTATAGATAAAATTACAGTGTAATTTACAACAGGAAAAGAAAGACCCAAATGACTGTGATGTTTGAATTTTATGTGACAACTAGGTTAGGCTACAGTACCCACTTATTGAATTAGAAGTGGTCTATTGTGCTGTTGTGAATGCATTCTGTAGAGGTGGGACACATCTATAATCTATTGACTTAAACAAAGGAGGCTAAGGCTGGCCCACATGACTCAGTGGTTAGAGCATCAGCCTGTGCACCAGAAGGTGGCAGGTTCGATTCCTGGTCAAGGGCACATAGGCAGGTTTGATTCCAGCCCCAGTCAGGGTGTGTGCAGGAGGCAACCAAATGGATGTGTCTCTCTCACATGAAGGTCTCTCTTTTGTCTCTCTCCTCTCTCTCTCTCTCCCCTCCCCTCCTTTCATTCTCTCTGATAATCAATGGAAAAAAATATACTCTGGTGAGGATTAATAAATAAATAAATAAATAAATAAAGGAGGCTACCCCTCATAACCTGGGTAGGCGTCATCTAGACAGTTGAAAGGCCTCAGGAGCATAACTGAGATTTCCCTGAGAAAGAATTCTACTCGTTATGTTTCTCTGGTACAAGAGATACAATGGCTTTAAGCAAAGATCATCTTAAATTTTATAACGAACACTAAGAAGTTATATGGAGAAATGTTTATAGGTCAAGAAAAAAGGGCAAATAAACTTAGGTCTACATTGTGATTACAACTATGTAACTTTGTATGTTTATATATAAAAGAAAAAAAAGAGTTTATTTATTAGAATGATGGAATCATGGCTGAATCTTAAATGTCTTAATAGTGTTACAAAACAGTTTGTGAAACAGAGCTCTGTTATTTTTAATGGAAGAAAGCTAACATTATGTTAGGCCTTATTAAAGAAATCATACTAAGCTAAACACACACACACACACACACACACACACACACACAGCTGCCCATTTTGAAATGTTGCCTTTGATAGTAAGTACTAAAAAGAAAGGACCCCCTGGAAGGCAAATATCCCGACAAAGGCCTCAGTCCAGGGCCATTTTTTCAGGAACATGTAATGCCTCAACTCAAATAAAATGAACACCCACACAGAACGGCAAAGTAGCTGGTAATTGGTTTAAGAATTTTCCACATCCTCAGCTGAAGGGCTTGCCTTCAACTTTGACTCAAGTCAGAGATATTTGCACTGGTCAGCTAAACATTTAGCACAGTGAGGTCTCTTCTCCTCTCTCCCAACACCAGACACTGAAGGGATTCTTGTATGTTTGTTGAACTTGAGAAAATCAAATAAATGTTCTTAGCGACGAAGTCATATGGACCTCAGTTTGAATGCTGGCTCCACTTTTATTCATTCAATCAAAAAATATTTGCGTGACTACTATATGCTAGGAATTGTGAATACAACAGTGACCAAAAAAGAAAGATATTGTTTATTTTAAGGTAAAAGATACTATGTTAAAACTTATTCTCTTTGGAGAATGCCTTAAAGAGAAACGATTCTTTGGAGCTTAGGGCAGATAGACATTAATCAAACAATGTCATAGACAGTAAGACTGTGTTCTATATAAACAAATAATTATATGAATGCTGAAGTGTTTAAAGGTGAAGGGTACTGATACATGCTTCGAAATAAGATGGATTGATGAATAAATAGATTAAGGGAGGGCAGATATGCAATAAAGCAAATACAGCAAACTATTACAAACTCTAAATGAAAAATCAAATGTAAGGTATTTGGCACTAAACACCTTAAAGGTCAGTTGTAATGAAGCTGATGATGTCGATTGTTTTTTTTATCTCATTTACCCTCAACATAAGATTGAGGAAAGGGGATACTTGGGAAAGAGAAAAATCACATCCCAAACTCGTTTTTGTTTTTTTTGTTTTTAAAGATTAGGAGGAAATAGATGAAATGCTACTACCGGTTATAGTTCTACAATAAAACTGATGGACTTTGTTGTGGTGGTGGTTTTGTTGTTTTACCTTTTATTCTTCTGTATTCTTCACATTTTCTGAGAACCATGCATCACTTTCATGTATCACTTTTACATTAAAAAATATAAATGTATTTTAAAAACAAACATGGGAGGTTGAGTGAAGACACTCAAATTGGAAGAGTGACTACCAATCTGACAAGATTTTAGCTCACTGGACCCTGGTTATCAATTTCGGGGGAGGAGGGGAATGTTTATTTCCGCAATTAAGGAAAATCCTAGAAACAGATTCTTGAGCTAAAAGCACTCTTATAGACCACTTAGTCCCAACTCCCAACTAACAGGCAATGTAAGTCAAGCACTTTACAACTTCGCAGTTGCTGTGCATTTATCCAGGAAGCTGGTCTGATCCCCACAACACTGTAAAGGTTCCGGCAGCTCTGATGTGATGGAAGAAGCATGAATCAGAAGCTCAAGAGTCAGAAGTCAAGAGTCAAATCATAGCTTTGCTATACAGCCTGAGGTAATGCCATTAACTTCTGTTTTCTCTTCTATGAAACAGAGATAAAACAATACCTGTTTTAGCGAACCCAGAGAGTTTTACTACTCCCCGCCTTGCATCTCTCCTCTAGGTGCACTGAACTAATCAGGGTTCCCCAAACATGCTCTCAAGCTGCTAGCCCTCATACTGCTCTCTCTCCCGCCCCCCGCCCCACCCCTCCCACTGTACTGGGTTACGTTCTGCTCAACTCTCAGAACCCAACTTAGGTGACACTTCCCTTAAGGTTTGCCAGGCTATCCCCATTTCAGGTGGAGTAGATGCCTTTTGCACAGCACAAATCTCCATGTGTCCTTTTTATCTCAATATAGTATTATTGCCTATGGACATCTCTGTTTCTCAACCATAAACTTAAGGGTAGGAGCCAGGTATGTATGATTCATCTGTTTTGTCAGAGCCCATGACAATGCCTGAGGCTTAATGTGTTTAGGAAATGAACTTTAAATAAAAATTAAGACATTCATTTTCATATAATAAGTACATGTTTATGCAAAATGTAATATATGGCGGTACTTCTCAATCTTGACTGCATATCAGAATTAGCTATAAACCTTCCAAAATAGAGATCCTGTGAGATTTTAATTAAGTAGACTTGAGATAGAGCCCAGGCAATTTATTTTAACATCTTCAGACGTGGTTCAAATACATGGCCCAATGAAAAACCACTGATATAGCCTGGCCAGTGTGGCTCAACTGGGTGAGTGTTGTCCCATGCACCAGGAGATGGCTGGTTCCATTCCCAGTCAGGGCACATGCCCAGGTTGTGGGCTCGATCCCCAGTAGGGGGCGTGCAGGAGGCAGCCCATAGATCATTCATGTTTCTCTCCCTCCCTCCCTCTCTCTTCCTCTCTGAAATCCTTAAAAATATTTTTTTTAAAAAGAGAGAGAGAGAGAGATCAGGAAGCATTCTAAAGTGACATTTCCAGTGTGCCACAGCTTAGTTTGAAAGAGTTTAAAAGGCAATATGATATTGTGGCAAAAGTAAAGGACTACATTTAGATTTCTTAAAATGTAGTTTTAAACCAATATTTAGTCATTTACTAATAATGTGCCTTTGAGCAAGCCAAGATTGCTATGATCCGCAGTCTCCTAACTCTTGTAAAATGGAAACACCTCTCTCACAGGACTGTTGTAAAGACTGAACCAACGCAGCAGGGCAAGATGTTAGCCTTTTCCCTGTAGAAACATAAATGTAAATGCATGTACATCTGTCCTCACCCATCGTTCTATGCACAGACAAAGGGAGCAGGCTAAATGGGGGGGGGGGGGGGGGAGTGTATTTTAACTCTCACGGCAATATACTTGCCAAACATTACTATATCCTCCATACGAAAAGATTACAGCACCAGGGTAATGAACATAACACATAACTGGTATCAGGTGGATATGGACTGAAAATGAAGTCTGCCACCTACTTTCAGCAAAACCTTGAATAAGTTCCCTTTGCCAGTCTGAGCCTCAACTTCCTTACCCATGAAAGAGAGGTGCTGGCCATCATCCCGTACGCTTATTTTGAAAAAACATCTCACACAGTGTCTGGTACATAACAGGTGTGCAATAAACTGCTGAATAAGTTTACGACCCGCTAACAACTAGCTAGCCAATTATACTTTTCAAACTTTTCTTTATATTCAATATTTTACTTAAGTTGCTTCATAACCTTGTAAGCTGGTCACAGAAACTTTTACTATCCCCGTTTTACAGTCAGAAGAGGCACAGAGATAAATTGCTTCCGTACAGTCATGCAGTAATATAGAAACAAATCAAGGTCTCCTGACTTTCTCCTGGTTTCATTATTCCCCCATCTCCAAATTACAACATTAGTCTTTAGGAAAATGACATCTATGAAACAGTGTGTCCTTTTGATAACCTTAAACGTCTCTCTTTACTATACAAAAAAAAAAGTTTTTTCCCTACTTTCTGGTTATGATTTAGAAAGATAAATAGGGAGAAAGGGCCCAGCCAGTGTGGCTCAAGGGTTGAGCATCAACCCATGAACCAGGAGATCACAGTTCTATTATAGATCAGGGCACATGCCCGGGCTGGGGGCTCAATCCCCAGTAGAGGGCCTGCAGGAGGCAGCCAGTCAATAATTCTCTCTCATCATTGATGTTTTCTTTCTCCTCCCCTCCCCTCCCCTCCCCTCCTCTCCTCTCCTCTCTCTCTCAGAATTGAATTATCTCAGATTAGCAATTGCTGATTCTACCATGATTTTTGTTTTTGTTTTCCCCAAAAGCCTTCAACCTCTTAGTTGAAAATATGTTTAAAGTCTGTTTATTAAAATAATGCTTGTTTGATAAACTATTCCTAAACTGAGGCGAGGGAGGCGGGATTAGAAAGACAGCCTTCTCCCATCTTTATGAGTATACATCACTTTTTATCCCTCACTTTATCCCTTCATTTTAAGATTTGTCACACCATGTTGTGATATCTTTAACTAGTATGTATATCTGAACACCCTGCCCCAGCATGGGGCTTGGCACATGGTAGGGAGGGACTCAATAAATGTTTATAAATAAGTGAATGAACAAACGAAGCTAATCTCTCAGAGGGAAGTTAGGAAAGGAGAAAACTGGATATTGTATCTTACGGCTAATAAGAAAGTGAAAGAAAAATTATATTTTAAGAGCTTCCTAAGGAAGAAAAACCTTTGCGTGGAGTCAAACAGGCCCCTGTAGGCTTTAGGTATCACTAGAGAAAAACAAAACCACAGGAGATCCGGAAGAGGCAGTTTCAAGTTAAAAGGCTCAAAAGTTAGGGTGCTCATTTAGACTTGCAAAACCAAGCTGCAAATTCCTAAGAAACAATCCTGGCCTAGGATATTTCAACAGCAGTTTTCAGGTCTTGACTACAAGAACAAAAGCCAAAAAATCCTGCAAGCTTAGTGGAGAAAGACAGATATAAACGGGAAGAAAAGCTCAGTCTAAAATAAATTCCCCCCCCAAAAAATATCAGAATCCACTTGGATTTTCATATTAAAGCATGGTTCCTCTTCAATCTGAGAACTATTGAATAAAACCCCAATGTAGCAGCTGGCAGTAAATGGGACTAAATCATCTTATTCATTCAACAAATATCTGAGTGCCTGCATGTAGTCACTATTCTAAGCTTGTTGGAGAAAGACAGAAACGGGAAGAAAAGCTAGTCAACAAAAGAGAAAAAATTCTCTGCTCTCAGGAAGCTCTCAATCTAGTGGCAAAAGGAAGGCATACACAGGTGGACTAGAATGGACTGCCAGGCAGTAAGTGCTCTGAAAGAGAAGGGAGGGAGAGGGGGGATGGCAAGGACCTGGTCTTATCAGAAGCAGATCTTTTAACCCAACGGTATTCAAACTATCAAGTATCAGAATTCCCTGGAGCAGCGGTCGCCAACCGGTGGTCCGTGAGGTCCTAGAGGTTGGCAACTGCTGACCTGGAGGGCTTGTTAAAGCAGAGGTTTTAGAGCAGCGGTTCTCAACCTGTGGGTCGAGACCCCTTTGGCGGTCGAACAACCCTTTCACAGGGGTCGCCTAAGACCAGGGGTCCTCAAACTTTTTAAACAGGGGGCCAGTTCACTGTCCCTCAGACCGTTGGAGGGCCGGACTATAGTTTAAAAAAAAACTAGTCGGCTGCTAAGCAACAGGCAGCGGCGGCAAAAACACCCCGCGGGCCGGATAAATGTTTTCGGCGGGCCGCATGTGGCCCGCGGGCCGTAGTTTGAGGACCCCTGCCTAAGACCATCCTGCATATCAGATATTTACATTACGATTCCTAACAGTAGCAACATTACAGTTATGAAGTAGCAACGAAAATAATTTTATGGTTGGGTCACAACATGAGGAACTGTATTTAAAGGGCCAGAAGGTTGAGAACCACTGTTTTAGAGCCCCAACCACAGTTATTCAGTTATGGGACAAATCATTTGCAATTCCAACAAATTCCCAGATGGCATTGATGCTGCTGGTGCTGGGACCACACTTAGAGATCATTGTTCTAGCCCAAAGGATCAGACATCCTCTATCATCTCCTGGGCCTTGACTTGCTTCTTCATCCATCCATTCATTCCTTTTAAACAGGTATCCGTGCACGCAACTTTGTTAAGACACTAAAACTAAACAGGTCCTGCCCTCGAGAAATTCACAGGCTAATGGAAAAGACAGGCACAAACTCAAATAATTGCAACAATGCTGTAGAGAGCTGTAAGAGTGGTGTGTACAGGAGCCAGAGAATAAAGGAATAACTCATTCTATGGAGGTAACAGGAGGAGAGACTAAGGACTGCTGCTTCCAGAGGTCCAACAAGCACTCCCCCACAGGCAGGTAGAGGGTGGAAGGCTGGCGTTGGGGGAGAAAGACCAGCTCAAGCAAAAGCAGCGATAAGAAGAGTGTGGCAGGGAAGTTACAGTGAGGCTGCAACGGTAGGCAGCAGTCTGGTCTCTGAAAACTTCTTATTCAGGTTCGAGTTTGAAAATGCATCCTTAGGCAATGACTAGTCTGGGTAGGGAAACATTTATACGATGGGTTTTGTTTTACAAAGATTTCTCTGGATACATAGAAAGCACTGCCTCCTCCAAGCCCAGCACAGGGCCTCATAACATGTGTCTAGTAAATGTATATTGAATGGACTTGGACAAGCTTTTTTTTTTTTTTAATATGTTTTTATTGATTTCAGAGAGAGAGAGATAGAAACATCCATCAGCTGCCTCCTGCACGCCCCCTACTGGGGATTGAGCCTGAAACTCGGGCATGTGCCCTGACCCAGAATTGAACCATGACCTCTTGGTGCACGGCTGGATGCTCAACCACTGAACCACACCAGCCAGGCTAGACAAGCCTTTTATCAAGTGCTGTCTTGTGGATGTGAGACAGGTCACCACCTTCCCAGCACGACTCACTATGGCCAGGACAAACCTTGTAAAACAGGTCCAGCAGCCTCAATTATTGCACACTGCTCCCTGGACGGCGGGAGTCCCCCAGAGATCAGAGCCGGTCTCACTGTTTACATGTCTACCTCACCCACTAGACTTTGAGCTCTTGGAAGACACGGAATGTCTTTAATAGACTCTGAATCCCCATCGCCCTAGCAGGAGGCCTGGACACAGTAGCTCTCCCGACTCCAGTAATGCAGGGTCAAGGGATGGCTAAATAAGCAAATTAACCAGATAAATCCATGAGCTCCTCCAGGTAAGGATATGGATAAACTTCAGGGAATGTTTCAGAGTCCATATTCCCAAAACCCTTTTTGAGAAGTAGAGTTTCATTAAGGAGAAGTGGATTCCATAGGCACCTGGATGGAGGATTTCCCAAACAGAAACATAACAACAACAAAATATGTTACCAATACTGTGGTAAATCCTGCAGGCCGCTGAGCGCTCCAGGGGGAAGTTGGCTTTGCCTGAGAGGAGTCTGGGAGTGGATGCTAGCAAAGACTTCAGAGTGGGAGAAGGGGGATTCTCCAGGGGAGTCCTGAAAGCTGAGTCGGTGCTTGGTACCTGTCTGTGTCTAGGGCGTAAAAACAAACTCCTGGAACTTGAAGGCTGGCAGTAACCTACTCAAGGTCACAGGAAGGAGGTGAAGTCACAAGGTAAGATCAATGAGGCATCGGTGTACTGTCGGCTCCTGCTTTCTCCTGACAAAGTTGAGAGAGCCCAAACACACAGAAGGCAAAAGTAAAGACTTTTCTCAGGCCCTAACTGGCTTGGCTCAGTGGATAGAGCTTTGGCCTGTGGACTGAAGGGTCCCAGGTTCGATTCTGGTCAAGGGCATGTACCTTGGTTTCGGGCACATCCCCATAGAGGGTATTCAGGAAGTAGCTGATCGATGTTTCTAACTATCCCTCTCCCTTCCTCTCTGTAAAAATTCAATAAAACATTTTTTTTTAAAAAAAAAGACTTTTCTCAGGAACAATTCTTAAAGGCTAGTCTCATGAATTTGAATTTTTTCGGTAACCATAGTCCTAACCCTTCCCCTCACCTTTCACAGTGCCAGGGGGGACGGAGTTGAACCAACACAAGCACTTTGCTCCCAACACCCCCAAACACCCACAACTTCCCAAGTATTCTTCCAAAAACACTCCCTCCCGTGTTTGCTGTTAAATGTTCAAGCCAGTAAAGGCTACAATCATTGACATGGCATAATGAGCATAAAATAATTCTCTCTCCTCTCCCTGTTGGGGTTAAACTCTACAAGTTACGGCGCATCCCGCCGTGGGGGAGGGGCTGCAGGAGTCCGGCTCCAGCCGCTCCAATTCTTCCAGGAGTGGGACCCACAGGTGACTCCCCGGCGCGGGCAGGGGCGCCCTCTCCACGCACAGCAACCCGGACGCCGCCTGCGGGGCTCCCGATCGCGGGTCCAGGTCAGCGCCGGGGGACCGCAAAGTTGGGGAAGGAGTCGCTCCTCAGACCCGGACCTGTCCGGGGTCCTGTCTCCGCTCTAAACCGCCAGAACTGTTCATGGGATTTGAGTGCCCGAGTCGGATGCTGACCGCCTGCAATGGTTTAGCCACCGGGGCTTTTGG